AGGTGGGGCCACTGGCTGCTACCAGCCCAAAGCTGGGGACCATGCCCGAGGAGGTGACCTGGAGCCAGGAGACAAAACAGGGATGCAAGTCAGCATGGGGAATGGGCAGCACAGCCTAAGGGAGCTGTCAGGGGGGTGCACCCCCAGGAGACCCTCAGCTCCCCTGGCTTCCCCACCTTCATGTCAGTGCCGCCGTGGCAGCGCTGGCGCAGGGCAGGGAAGGGGTAGGTGCCATTGGAGGGGTTGAGGTCGGAGCGGGCGGAGATGGCATTCTCAGCGTTCTGGGGAGGGTCACAGTCCCTGCACCGTGACAGAGGGTCCTGCAGGTAGTTGTTGGACCTGCAGAGGCCAGGAGAGCGTCATGGTGAAGATGTGGATAAAACACATATCAATCTATAACGATGAAAAAATCATCCCCAAGAGTCGAAAAATCCCTTCAGGAGAAAACACAGGTTCGGGAGACCCCAGCACCCACCTCATCAAGCGGATCATGGAGTCCAAGTCATGGACCAATGTCTGGTTCCGGCGGAAGATCTGGGCACGTGGGTTCTTGTCATAGGTGAACCAGTCACCATATTTCTTCACCAGCTCCAGGTTCCCACTGGCATTGAAGATCTCCTCAAAGTACCTGGGGTTGAGGGGACCAAGCAAGTCAGCACCCAACAGCAGGGTGGGGGGCAAGGCCAGCATTGCTGCCCCCCTTTACTGGGCACATCGTGGGGTGGGATGGGGTGGATGGAGCTCACGGCACGTTGTAGCTGGCCCAGTAGCCCTGCTGGTACAGCAGCTCTGTCCGATCGGCCGTCACCACCAGGCCCCTGCGCTGGGAGGAAAAGCATTGGTCAGAGCAGAAGGGAAAAATCCACTGGGGATGTGGGAAGACGCTGGGATAGGGGGGACACATGTTGGGTGTCCCTGCCATGGGGTTCCCACCCCAGCCAGGGGCACTGAGCACCCAGCACCTCTGTACAGGCATCCCCAGAGCCTTTAGTCAGACATTCACATCCCTATGGGCAATCCTCATTGCCCAACCACTGGGATGCAGCAAGGACCCTCACGGGTCTCCCAAACACACAGGGATGGGAGAGGAAAAGCTTCCACTGTGGCTCAGCACAGGAACAGGCACTCGAGGAGGAATGGGACCACTCACGGGATCTGCTCCAGCATGGTCAGCACACCCGGTGGTGGGCTCGTTCTCCCTGGAGTGAAGGCATTATAGTCCACCACCATCCATTGGTTGTTGTACCTGGCATGGAGAACAGGGAATGCATCCATCTGGCAGCCAGCCTCTTCCTGGGGACACCCTGCATCCAACCCCACCTCCCCAGGACCAATTCCTGTGCCTCATCCCGCTCTGCTCACGTGCCACTGTTGAACTGTTGGAAGATGGTAGCCCACTCGGGCCCACTGCGGGCCAGGCGGTTGGCCACAATGTTCCTCAGCCACTCCAGGACGCTGCCCCGTGGGTCCAGGTACTTCCACAGCGCCGGGTTGTTGTTCCCAATGGTGGTTTCCACTGCTACCTGCAGAGAGGGGAGCGATAGGAAGGGCAGCAGGGCTGGGGAGGGGTCCCTGAGGACCAGACCCACTCACCAACCCACTGCTGAGGATGTAGAAGTCATCCGCAGAGAAGATGGTGCCAGGGTAGGAGGAAAACACCTGGATACTCCCAGGGATCTGAGATTTGCCTGGGGAGGGGATGCAGAAGCAGGGTATCAGAAGCAAAGTATCAGAAGGGGGGTGTGAGGGGCAGACCACCCAGCCCAGCCCACGCACCGCCGGCCGAGGTGCGGAAGGGCAGAGTGTACTTCTTGATGATGCGCAGCATGGACTGGTAGGAGGTCCAAGTGTCATGGGCCACCAGGAGATCCCGATTGCCTGGCAGCAGCTTTATCAGGGCAGAGCACGAGCCCGAGCCCAGGTCTCGCTGCGGGGAGGAGTGGTTCAGGGCAGACTCCAGGTCCTCCAGGTCACCCCCCAACTGCAGCAGCCTGGGGAGAAGCAAGATATGAGGTCTCAAGTGGGTGATGCCCCAGTCCAGGAGCTGAGTTGGCTCAGAGTTCTCTGTCCATCCAGGCTGAGGGGTGTTTCTCCATCCCACCCCAGTGCACATGCTGGTGCCAGAAGCATGTTGGCAGCCAGAGCAGGGAAGGAAGGGTGAGGACAGCAGTAAGGAAACTCAGGCAGGGGCTGTGGCAGGGACCCACCACCGAGACCATAGTTGAGGAGAAGGAAAACCTGCCTTGGCTCTATCCAACAGCAGAGGACAGGCACTCAGAGAAGGTGGATAAGGGGGACTGAGAGCAGAACTGGCTGTCTCCGGATATGCAGGAATTGTCCCTGCAGGACCCTCCATGAGCATCCCAACCCCTGGTGCAACCACTCCCCACTCTCCATCACCTCTGAGAAGGAGCTTACAGGAAGCCAAAGGGCGCCAGGGTGAACCTGCCCCGGGGGAAGTCCAGGCGCCTGTTGTAGCTGTCCTCCAGCCCCTTCAGCTGCAGCAGGGCCAGGTGCACCTGGGGACAGGGGACAGAGCTGGCACCCAGCTCCTGCAAGGGTTTTGGGAGACAGGTTCCCCCATTCCCCTGGAGTGCACAGCAGATCACGCTGCGGATGCAGGAGGAGGCACAGGGGGAAGAGTCACTGTCAGCAAGGTGATGACTCAGCACCCATG